GAATCACTTCCAAAGAGCATGAGGATTTCCTGCCTTTAACATTACTTCACACAAACCTTGAGTAGTGCCATGCTCTAGTTCTGTGGTCATCTCTCCTTCCGTATCTTTACCTCTGATGGAGGCACAGTGCCTCGTCCTTGGCATGGATACAAAATACGTATTTGTGGAGCCAATGTGTGAACAGAGAGGAAGCCATCTTCAAGGAAACTACACCTGTTTTTGAGACAGAGTTTCGCTCTGGTGCCCCGGCTGGAGGGCAGTGGCACGATCTCGGCTCACTGCAATCTCCACACCTCCTGGGTTCAAGCCATTCTCCTGACTCAGCCTCCTGAGTAGCTGGGACTATAGGCGCACACCACCATGCCCGGCTAATTTTTTGTATTTTTAGTAGAGATGGGGTTTTACCACGTTGGCCAGGATGGTCTCAATCTCCTGACCTCATGATCCACCCACCTCAGCCACCCAAAGTGCTGGGATTGTAGGTGTGAGCCACCATACCTGGCCGGAAACTACGTATTTTTTTGTTTATCCTTTTGATTCCTGTTTTGTCCTACTAAAGTGTTAGTTCCATGAAGACAGGAAGTTACATCTATTTGTTCACTGCTATTACCTACAATAATGCTTAGAGAAAACAGGGATAGTCAACAAATATGTATTGCATTTATGTTACTGAACGAATGAATAAAATGCTAAGTGAGAACACTGTAATCCCAGCCCTTTGGAGGCCAAGGTGGGCGAATCACTTCAGGCCAGGAGTTCGAGACCAGCCTGGCCAACACAGCAAAAACTTGTCTTTACTAAAAATACAAAAAATTCACCAGGCCTGGTAGCTCATGCCTGTAATCCCAGCTACTCGGGAGGCTGAGGCATGAGAATTGCTCGAACCTGAGAGGGAGAGGTTGCAGTGAGCTGAGATCACGGGACTGTACTTCAGCCTGGGCGACAGAACAAGACTCTGTCTCAAACAAACAAAAGAGCTAAATGAAAACAGAGTTCTGTGCTAGGTCCTAGAGACGGAAGAAGAATAATGCATCATCCTATCTTGTAGAAAATAACTCAATCCCAGCACTGCTAACTACTGATGTGATTAAGGCTGACGCAAAGGATGAAGCTTTTCTGATGGAAAGAACTTATTTTCACGTATGTGATAGTAACACTGTAGGCCGGGCACAGTGGCTCACATCCGTAACCCCATCACTTTGGGAGGCTGAGGCAGGTGGATCATGAGGTCAGGAACTCCAGACCAGCCTGACCAACATGGTAAAACCCCATCTCTACTAAAAACACAAAAGTAGCCAGGCATGGTGGCGTGCACCCGTAATCCCAGCTACTCAGAAGGCTGAGGTCGGAGATTTACTTGAACCCAGGAGGTGGAGGTTGCGGTGAGCCGAGATCATGCCACTGCACTCCAGCCTGGGCAACAGCAACACTCAGTCTCAAAAAAAAAACCAAAAAACAGCACAATCAACAATTGTATGTAGTTTTCAATGAATGCTGTCTGAACCCTGTGTGTGGATGTCCCTAGAAACAGGGACCCCTACGCTATAATGCCCCTTTCCACAGAGTTAGGACCAAAAGCACCAGCCCATCAGAAGCCCAAAATCCTATTCTGGATCATGTGCCAGGTACTAGGACCCCAGAGCTCCCTGTTCCAACAGCCCACACTCATTTATTAGGACTGTGCAGACGTTCACTTTACACACTTTCCCAAGGGAGACACTTTTCGGTATAGATCCCCAAGGCCCACAGGGTGAAGTGTGGATCCAGCGGACATACAGACCACACTGTCCGCAACATGACGACTAGATTCCCACTGCCACGCATACTACCTGGTCAGGCACGGAAGGTGGCTAAGAATCTGAAAACTCAAAGTTCAAACCAGCCTTTCAAGACAGTTATGAAGGTGTATTTGTCAGAAGAGAAAAATTTCCAAACATGTTTTGACACTTTTTCATTTGATTTGTAACTTTTAAATATTTAAATACAGAAGATGTGGTTCTGCTTTCACATTCTAGCCCTGGACACCACACATGTGAGGGGCAGGACTGCCCACTGGAGAAACTGAGGCTCAGGGCAGCTAACTGACTTGCCTGAGGGCGCAAGGCTAGGAAACAGAACAGCTGCCAGGCGCGGTGGCTCACGCCTGTAACCCCAGCACTTTAGGAGGCTGAGGCAGGCAGGTCACCTGAGGTCGAGAGTTCGAGACCAGCCTGACCAACATGAAGAAACCACGTCTCTACTAAAAATACAAAAATTAGCTGGGCGTGGTGGCACATGCCTGTAATCCCAGCTACTCGGGAGGCTGAGGCAGGAGAATCTCCTGAATCCGGGAGGCGGAAATTGCAGCGAGCGCTCGCGCCATTGTACTCCAGCCTCGGCAACAGGAGCAAAACTCCATCAGAAAAAAAAAAAAAAAAAAAAAAAAAAAAAAGGGAGTGGAAGAGCTAGAACCCAAACCAAGTTCTTCACAATCCAAGCATCGGTACCTGGGGTGAACCCTGCCCTCACTTTGACCACCCTTTTGTGTTTCCTCACCCTGATTACAGAAATCCTGGAGGTTCCCAAGAGGTGAGGCCATGGGACCAGGAGCTGCCCATCCTCTCTCCTAGCACCCTGGGTTTTCCCCCTATACCGCAAGCAGCCAGATGTGATGCTAGGCGACCCAAAGCCCAGATGGCCGCTGTGGATGCTCACACCTGCAGTGTGGAGCGGTCTAGGCTGGAAGTAAACAAGCAGCCGCACATGCCTCGGGAACCTCACAGGAGGAAGCCTGAGGCTTCTGAACACACATCTTTTTACAACTCTAAACCCAGAAGTGCATTAGTGTTCTTGCAAAACAGGCTGTGCAGCAGTTTTGAAAGCCCAGATATAATACCTTCTTAAGACCTGTACTTTACAGGGGCTCTTTCATCCAAGAAATTCAAAGTGCTTTACAAGCTCAGAGCCATTCATCCAAACACTCGAGGGAAGGATGCAGGTGGCCCAGGTTAGACTCTCGGAGGAAGAAACTGAGGCAGCCGACCGCCTTAAGTACCAGCCTTTAAAAGGGTCTTTGCTTTTTGAAAATGAATAGCTTAAATATTCACAAAAAAACATGCCACAGAGAGAGGAGGAAAAAGCGGTTTGCACTATTTCTTGGATATTAAATTGAATGTAACAAAACTAAATATGTCACAGAAATCTATGCCTTGGTATAGTTTTTTAATCCAAAGAAGCCATGAAAATTTATGCTCAGTCCACTACAAATGGCTTATTGTTAAATTTGAGATACTATCACCTTTCAAAATGCGAATTCCATAATCACAAATTTTAAAGCAGAAACTTCAGGTTTTTTTCTCCCCAAATGGAATCAGGCTTTTACACCTTTGGCCAGAAAGCACTTAGCAAAGGTGATTAGCATATTCTCTCTTGACTAGACAGAATCAATATCAAGCCAGGGAAATTAGCTTCATTTGCTTTTTAGTGGGAGGTAAGTGGCCCCAGGGAAGTATGTCTGTGAAGAGTGGAGGAAGAGTCCTTTCATAAATAAGGAAGGTTAGGAGTTCAGGAAGAACAGAACATATCAAGTACCCATTTTTGTTACCCTAACATAACCCAAACAATGTTTGGATTGAATACATGCATCTGAAAGTTATGTTCACAGCAATAACCAACATTCAGTGAGTTATCATTTTGTTCTAACCACTGTACTTCCCAATAACCCATTTTATAGACAAAGAAAAACAGCCTCAGAAAAATTAATAGATGCAGTCTCAAAAGCATTTATAGTCAAGTTAGAAAAATATTCACTCATTCATTCAATAAGGCAACTACATAGACTCTGAAATATGAAAACACAAATTTCTCTCAGGGAGTTCATAATCTAGTGGAGAAATACACAGGTAAATCAACTTTCAAAAAGGTGTGTTCAAGGCACCTTGGCAATGCAGTGGCAGCTGAATTATCTGAGGGTCTAGGGCAGGGAATATGAAGGACTTGGCAGAGAGGATGTCCATTTCAACAGGCTGATCAAAAGAGAAAGGAGCTCTAGACTTAGAGAATGGCTTATGAGAATGCATAAAGACATGAGAGAACCTAATCTAGGTCTCTGGGGTCGCCTAGCATGGCCTGAGAGAATGAAGATGCATAAGAACAGGTACTAAAAGGTAATCCTGGGCTGAATAAGTGTGAATAGATAGGAATTAGATATTAAGAATGAATTACTTTTGCAATTGTGTACGTCTTATCTGCCCACAAGCTGTCTCCTTGATGGGAAAAAAAAAATCTCCCTCTGGATTCTAGCAGAACAGTTTATGCCTGAAATTGTTTAATCTCAATCACTGATTGCCATTAATTCTTCATTACCACCACCAGAGCTAGCACTTAAACAATGGCTATAGGCATGACTTTTAGCTCTTTCTGTATAATAACCTATTTATTTTTAGAGATGGAGTCTCACTCTGTTACCTAGGCTGGGTTGCAGTGGCACAATCTCGGTTCACAGCAACCTTAGCCTCCTGGGTTCAAATGATTCCCCTGTCTCAGTCTCCTGAGTAGCTGGGACTGCAGGCGCGTGCCACCATGCCCCTGCTAATCTTTTTTACTTTAGTAGAGAGAGGGTTTCATCGTGTTGACCAGGACGGTCTCGATCTCCTGACCTCGTGATTTGCCGGCCTCAGCCTCCCAAAGTGCAGGGATTTACAGGCGTGAGCTACTTCACCCAGCCACCTACTTAAATCTTAAAAGAGCCCAATCAGGGAAATCGTATTACCATCACCTTGTATTACAATCACATTCTACACACAGAGAAGCTGAGGCACAGGAATGTGCCTAGAACACACATCTAAATAACACTGTATGGAATTCATGACCACAAAACACACAGAAAACTGAAGTGCAAAATTGTGTTACTAGGAATTTCCTGCCTCCCTAATTGTCAGTTCTCTTCCCTTTCACCCCACACACCCCCACCATCATGAGTAAATGTCACGGACTTGCCAGGAGATGACTAGTAAGCTCACCAACACTGCTTCTCAGCCGTCACATAGTATCTGCCACTTTCCTCCTCTCCTGCTCGGTTCCATCCAGTGATATCTGCCAATAAGAACGAGTGTCAAAACTGCTAATGGCCAAGATATTACTGTAGCTGCTGAGATCCCAATGATGTCACTTCCCAAGGCTGCACAAGCCACTGGGCTACTGCCAACCCCACCCCTGATGTCGTTACTGACTCCACTTAACATACTCAAAGTGGCACGCAGATTTTGGTAAATCAGTTATCCTGAGATTTTGCTTTCACTATTACTACAACGCAGTCTCCCTAGGTTTCCAACGTGATTTGTTCAGTTGGAGAGTAATCCAAGTGACGGGCAGCATGCTTCCCTTGGAACCTTCTTCCTGTCTATTAACACATTTTTCAAGTTTGGTTTACATAAACATTCCTCCATTCAATTGTGAGCTCCTTTGGGAAAGCCTTAAAAAATACAAAAAATTAGCTGGGCATGATGATGCATGCCTATAATCCCAGCTACTCAGGAGGCTGAGGCAGGAGAATTGCCTGAACCCAGGAGGCGGAGGTTGCAGTGAGCCAAGATCGCACCATTGCACTCCAGCCTGGGTAACGAGAGCGAAACTCCGTCTCAAAAAAAAAAAAAAAAAAAGAGCATGAACTTCAAAGGGTTGCTGTGAAGATCTGTAAAGCATCTAAAATGGTGCATAGCAGACAATAAGCGCCTAATAAATGTTAGTCACTATCCACATCTATATACTTAACAGCTACTTCTTGTTTTGTATAAGATGTGAACAAAAGTTCTCTGAAAAGGAATTTGGAGGAAAGAGACTATTTCAGTGAACAGTCTGCAAACCAGTAAAATATGCTTTGGTGTAAAAGGAAGGCACATTCCAGAGAACAAAATTTGGGTTTTATACCAAAAGTTCCTACCCAGGTTTCCAGTCGGGTCTGTTAATTCAAAGACTTGAAACTTGTTTAGTTTCTATTGGTTGACACAAGTGAGTTTGTAGATTGGTTGACACAGCTAAGCCCTGACTGGTCAATACAGCTGAGCTTTGATTGGTTGTGGTTGATACAGCTGAGCCCTGACTGGTCAACACAGCTGAGCCCTGACTGGTCAATACAGCTGAGCTTTGATTGGTTGTGGTTGATACAGCTGAGCCCTGACTGGTCAACACAGCTGAGCCCCCACTGGTCAATACAGCTGAGGTTTGACTGGTTGGTTCAGGTGAGCTCTCAAAGCCCCAAAGTTAAAAAGATGTGGGGTTTTCCAGGGTTTTAGGGAACTCAGAGTATGTGTAGAGCTTCAAGTCAGCAAATGGCTGCTTGGCTCGATTTTAAATCTAGGCCCACTTAGCCACTTGGAATCCATCCTGAAAAATTGCCTTTTTCAGGTTCTCATTTGTTCAGAACATAAGCAATGTCTAATTGTGCTCTGGATATTTCTTGTCCAATTCAGCTTTCTTCCTATACAATGAGTGCTTTCCCAGAGGTACTTCAGACAATCATGAAAACAAACTCCTGGAGACCAAAATACCAGACCTCCAGACGTGTCCAGACAGATCTGCATTCAAGAGCATGAGTAAGCAAAGATAAGGCAAACGTCCTAATACCAGGTACAACCAAAGGCACGTTTTCCACATGAACTTAAAACTATCAACTGAAAAAGAGAAAACGCACATAGGCCCATGGATGGACTACTCTCTGGCTGGCAACAGACAGCAAACACTGACCCAGGTGCTGCGCCCCCCAAGATGATAAATGGCTGGAAAGAATTATTGCAGCGGGCTGCTCTGCATTTTGGTTGACACACCAACATAAATCCGACTAACAGACTGTGTGACCTCACCCTGGGATGCGAGCCAGAGGTTTCACTTGAGATCTCAGAAGTAATCAAATCTGGAAAGTGTTTCAGTTGCTTTCTCTTTTAGCCCATTTTAAGCAAAACAAAAGGCAGCATGGACCCAAACAGGCAAGAAGGTAAAAGCAGAAATTGTCTACACTCCATTACCCTGAATTACCTGATGATGAATAAATATTCATTGTTCTGTGGTTTCAACAGAAAGTAAACGGCTATTTTAAAAACCTGACCTTCCTCATGCCTTTAATCTCTTCCTTTTCTCTTACATCAGAAAAAGAATATTCAAGCTTCCTGACCAAAAGATATGCCTCTAATACGACCTCAAACAAACCCTGACACAAACCCTGATTCTGAGGTTTTTTTTTTTTTTTTTTTTTTTTTTGTGAGACAGAGTTTCGCTCGTTACCCAGACTGGAGTGCAATGGCACAATCTCAGCTCACTGCAACCTCCGCCTTCCGGGTTCAAGCAATTCTCCTGCCTCCGCCTCCCGAGTAGCTGGGACTACAGGCGCACACCACCATGCCCAGCTAATTTTGCATTTTTAGTAGAGACAGGGTTTCACCTTGTTGACCAGGATGGTCTCGATCTCTTGACCTCGTGATGTACCTGCCTCAGCCTCCCAAAGTGCTGGGATTATAGGCGTGAGCCACCGTGCCCGGCCCTTGCTTTTTTTTTTACTTGAGATAGAGTGTCACTCTGTCACCCAGGCTGGAGTGCAGTGGCACTGATCTAGGCTCACTACAACCTCTGCCTCCTGGGTTCAAGCAATCCTCCTGCCTCAGCCTCCCAAGTAGCTGGGATTACAGGTGTGCACCACCACGTCTGGCTAATTTTTGCATTTTTAGTAGAGATGGGGTTTTACCATGTTAGCCAGGCTGGTCTCAAACTCCCAACCTCAGGTGATCCTCCTGCCTCAGCCTCCCAAAGTGCAAGGATTACAGACCTAGACACCAGGCCCAGCCCTGTGTTCTATCTTTATACTTTTTTCTTTCACTCCTCAGTCTACTATAATCCCTTAACCACGACTCAGCCCACACCACTGCACCCTTCCCAGCACGCCTTAGTGGAAAAGCTGAAATTGCACTGACGTTAAGAGGTTCTGTCCTGATACTTGCTGGCTGAATGATCTCAGATCAATTTCTTCGCCTCTCCAGGCCTCAGTTTCCACATCTGTAAAAGGAAGCTGATCCCTGCAGCCTCCTTACCAGCCAAATTCTCACAAGGTCATTAGCCCATACGTTTGCAGGTGCAGTGAAACACAGAATGCTGAGAAGCCACACCCCACTCTTAGCCTATGGATGAAGAAACGCTGAGAGGGTGGGGGAAGGAGGGTGGGGGAAGGCCACCTGGGTAAAAACTATCAAGATAACTGAATATGGGAGAAAAACACTTCCCCCGTCCCCAGCTGAAATTGGAAATTGTCAATGTGCACAAGCACAAAGAATAGCTGTCAAGGCGCCCAGAGGTGTGAAGAAAACCTGAAATCATCTGTCTCTACCTGTACAGAGTATCTTTGTATCCTTGCACCTGTTCCAACTGGAAAATGAGAATTAGGCAGATGGGGTGTTTTTAAGGGATTGGATAATTTATTAGGTGTTATAAAACATAGGCAATCAATAAATAATATTTCAATGGAATTCAACATCTTTCCACTGGTTCTCTTAGGAAATTTCAAGCTAATTCCAAAATGTTCCACTCTGCTCTCTGAGGCTCATTTACTGAATTCCCATGTGTCAACGCACAAATTTAGAAGCTCAGAGCAGCGGAGGCCACCAACAGGACTGCATAGCACTGAAGAATTTAATCAGTTAATGTGTCAGGATCTACCCATCAAACACTGACAGCTCACAATCAATGTAAGAAGTTACTTTGTAAAATGGACTTTTGTTTCCTTGAATTTGAGACCTAGAAGCCAGTATTGCTTGACATTCCTGGAAAATTTCCTGATTCACACTTCACTTTCAATTTAGTGGATTGAGCTTTGTCTCTTAAGCACAATAGTGAATGGTTTCGTTTTGCTTTTTTGTTTTTTCTTTTTCTTTTTTAAAGACGGAGTTTCACTCTTGTTGCCTAGGCTGGAGTGCAATGGCGCGAGCTCCGCTCACTGAAATCTTTGCCCTCGGGGTTGAAACGATTCTGCTGCAGCCCCCTGAACAGCTGGGATTACAGGCGCCTGCCACCACACCCAGCTCATTTTTTTGTATTTTTAGTAGACGTGGGGTTTCTCCATGTTGGTCAGTCTGGTCTTGAACTCCTGGCCTCAAGGTGATCCACCTGGCTCGACCTCCCAAAGTGCTAGGATTACAGGCATGAGCCACCATGCCCGGCCAAGTCTACTTTAAGAATAGTTTAGGAGGCCAGGCGCGGCGCCTCAGGCCTATAATCCCAGCACTTTGGGAGGACAAGGCAGGCAGATCACAAGGTCAGGAGTTTAAGACCATCCTGGCCAACATGGTGAAACCCTGTCTCTACTAAAAATACAAAAATTAGCTGGCCTTAGTGGCTCGTGCCTGTAATCCCAGCTCCTTGGGAGGCTGAGGTAGGAGAATTGCCTGAACCAAGACCTGGGAGCTGGAGGTTGCAGTGAGCCGAGATCGCACCACTGCATTCCAGCCTGGGCTACAGAGCAAGAGTCCATCTCAAAAAAAAAAAAAAAAAAAAGATAGTTTAGATATTCTTTGCAAATAGGTTTCTGTTATTTCCATTATGACATTTTATTTTCAATTTTTCATTTTTTCCTTCCATTTTAAAGCACCCTCGGTGGTGTGCCTAAGTGCTCAGGTAATATACATAAAAATGCTTCAACAGACAGATGGGTAAGTACCATCTCATGGTGCCCATACTTCTTAGTGGAAAAAGTACCCAAAACAGAGTGCAGTAATTCCATCCCCTCGAGCGCTGTAACATGCCTGCAGGTGGTAGTTCTGCACGTGAAACCGCAGCACGATGGATATATAAACTAGGGCCACCAATGCACTTGACAATACAATGCAGTAGGTATTCTAATATTCCCATTTCTGATACACACATTACATAAAACCAGAAAAATTACCTTTTTTGGGGAGGGGGCGGGGGATGAAGTCTCACCTGTTGCCCAAGCTGGAGTGCACTGGCGTGATGATGGCTCACTGCAACCCCCACCTCTTGGGTTCCAGCAATTCTCCTGCCTCAGCCCCCAAGGAGCTGGGACTACAGGCATGTGCCACCATGCCCAGCTAGTTTTTTTTGTATTTTTTAGTAAGAAAAGGGGTTTCACTATGTTGGCCAGGCTGATCTTGAACTCCTAACCTGTGATCTGCCTGCCTCAGCCTCCCAAAATGCTGGGATTACAGGCCTGAGCAACCATGCCTGGCCCAAAAAATTACTTTTAAGACAAGTAGCAAAATAAAACTTGCTAAAACATTTTGCAAAATCATTGCTACGTTCTCATCTTTTCTAATATGTGATTTTCTATAACTTGAGTATTATACTCCAAATAGATAGAAATTTGTCTTAGGCTGTAGATCTCATCAGCTTTGGAGGTTAGTCTTTATGAGCACAGGATACCTGAAAACTGGTTAATGAATAGTATTTCAGAAATCTCTACTAACATGCTAATCACAACTGGATAGCTCTCATTTAATCGCTTTTTAAAAAACTAAAAGAAAACATAGGTATTAATATTATCCTCATAGCTGAGGAAATTAAATATGAAAAAGGTTAAATAATTTACCTAAGGCCACATCAGTAGGGGTGACAGAACCGTGACTTCAACCTGGGAATTCTGCTCCCAAGCACTTAGCTACTATGCAATATAGTACTGATGGTAGTACTAGAGTCCTTACTTTCATAGGGGTAGGGGAGGAGACTCAGGTATTTGCCCTAGGGAACATCTTATCATGTCAGACTAACAAAGATCCAATCTAGTGAGATTTGCCCACAGAATACCTAGAGGACCTAAGCTTCATAGATTGCTTTGCCTATAGAATATGCTTCCTGCGCAAAGTCCAGAAGCAAGGCCAGGGCCCCTTTGAACTATGGGGATCAGTGGGGCCCATGGCTGTCTACCTGCTTTCAGTTATCTGGAGATACTGTGCCTCCTGAACTGTGCACATACCAAAAAATGTCAAGGTCATCAACACTTACATCTCATGAACCCAAAAGTCCCATTAAAACGGTACCGGTTATTTACGGGAGTGTTTTATTTACCTGGCATAGATGGGAGAGGAGGACGAGCTTGGAACTTTTCACCATTTTATCATATCTCTAATATGAGAAGTCTACTGCCACCACCAAGATAGTCACGTCAAACCCGAAGTATCTGTAACATAAAAATATCATGGATGCTACTCAATTTTCATTAGTCTAATGTCACCAATAGTAAGTCAAAAGACCCCATCATATTAGGAGCAACGGGAAAGCTTGAATAGCAAGCAATTTTGAAATGATGATGATCTGGCCGGGAGCAGTGGCTCACACCTATAATCCCAGCACTTTGGGAGGCCGAGGAGGGTGGATCACGAGGTCAAGAGACTGAGACCATCCTGGTCAACAAGGTGAAACCCCGTCTCTACTAAAAATACAAAAATTAGCTGGGCATGGTGGTGCGCGTCTGTAGTTCCAGGTACTCGGGAGGCGGAGGCAGGAGAATTGCTTGAACCCAGGAGGCGGAGGTTGTGGTGAGCCGAGATCGTGCCATTGCTCTCCAGCCTGGGTAACAAGCGAAACTCCGTCTCAAGAAAAAAAAAAAAAGAAATGATGGTGATCTACTAAATGCCAGATACAGCACTAGACTCTTGTTCTAAATGCTGTATCTGACTTTTTTTTAAGACATGGAGTCTTGCTCTGTCGCCCAAACTGTAGTGCAGTGGTGCAATCTTGGCTCACTACAACCTCTGCCTCCCGTGTTCTAGCAATCTCCTGCCTCAGCCTCCCAAGTAGCTGAGACTACAGGTGCATGCCGCCACGCACAGCTAATATTTGTATTTTACTAGAGATGGGGTTTCACCATGTTGCCCAGGCTGGTCTCGAACTCCTGAGCTCAGGCAATCCAGCCACTTCAGCCTCCCGAAGTGTCTTTCTGGTATAAACACAGGCTAGTCATGTTATGTACACTCCACCCTTCCTAAAAATGTTGCTGCATTTGTTATATTTCTTTCTTCTTTTTTTGAGACAGTGTCTCACTCTTTCACCCAGACTGGAGTGCAATCTCAGCTCACTGCAGCATTCGCCGGATTCCGGGTGATCCTCCCACCTCAGCCTACAGAGAAGCTGGAACCACAGGCAACACGTCACCACATCCAACTAATTTGTGTTATTATTTGTAAGGACGAGGTCTCGCTACGCTGCCCAGGCTGGTCTCGAATTCCTGGGCTCAAGCAATCCCCCTGCCTCAGCATCCCAAAGTGCTGTGATTACATGTGTGAGCCACCACTGCACCCCGCCAACACTTCTAATTCCTTTTTTTTTTTCCTTTGAGGTAGAGTCTCCCTCTGCCACCTAGACTGGAGTGCGGTGGCACAATCTCAGCTCACTGCCACCTCCACCTCCTGGGTTCAAGTGATTCTGCTTCAGCCTCCCGAGTAGCTGGGACTACAGCCACCACACCCGGCTAGTTTTTGTATTTTTAGTAGAGATGGGGTTTTCCCATGTTGGTCAGGCTGGTCTCAAGATCCTGGCCTCAAGTGATTGACATGCCTCAGCCTCCCAAAGTGCTGGGATTACAAGCCTTAGCCACTGCCCCTGGCCCACTGCGAATTCTTGATAATTCTTTGACCTTGTAAAAAGAACCTGAGTTCTATAAATAGGTCAATAAGTTTCTCTGATTTCTCAATATTAGAATATCCAGAGCAGAAAGCATGGAGGAAAGACATATAAAATTTAACAGGGCATCTGCATGATGTAAGCAGGATTCACATACTAACCTTTTTAACGAAAATCTCCATGAAAAAATAAAACAGGAAAACTCTGAAGACTCTCCTGTGTGCTAAGAGGTAGATCCAGAAAGTATCAAAAGTTGTATTCTCCCAGCTGAAATCTTCTCAGTTTGGTGTTCCTGTTTTGATTACTGGTCTCTTGAAAAGGGGCCGGTGGTGTTACCAATGATCCCATTACTCACTCCTCTCAGGTAACTCTGCTGGAAAGGGAAGGAAGTAAATCTTGGAGTCCTTCACCTCCATCCCTTAATCATATACATGCATGCCCTCAAAAGCGGTAAATCACCGTCCTTCACTGCACTGCCATGATTCACACCTGAAACAGAGCAGAGAAGACAGGTACTCAGAAATGCCATGCCCGGAAAATAAGGCATCTCAACACATTAAAAACAGTGATACCTGGGCACACCAGTATTGCTTCTTCTCAAACTGACACCACACCAACAAGCTCAGTATATCATTCTAATTAAGGGTCATCAGCCGTGTTAAAGGCAAGTTTTATAGAGCAAAGCTTTCCAAACAGAACGTTTTAGGACTCAGTACCCTTTCCACACGCTATTAAAACCAAACGTCTCTATCATGTTAATCCATTTGGGCAGCATGACTTTAATTAGTAAAATTAGCCCTGTTTGGCCAACTTTCCTCTCATAAACTATGTAAGGCAGAAACATGACCAGTCGTATGTTTTAAGATGCCACCTAATGATATAAAAGCACCTATCTAACTTTATACAGAAGTGTTTAAAAATCAAAACACGGCCGGGCGCGGTAATCCCAGCACTTTGGGAGGCCGAGGCGGGTGGATCACGAGGTCAAGAGAGCGAGACCATCCTGGTCAACATGGTGAAACCCCGTCTCTACCAAAAATACAGAAAATTAGCTGGGCATGGTGGCGTGTGCCTGTAATCCCAGCTACTCAGGAGGCTGAGGCAGGAGAATTGCCTGAACCCAGGAGGCGGAGGTTGCGGTGAGCCGAGATCGTGCCATTGCACTCCAGCCTGGGTAACAAGAGCGAAACTCCGTCTCAAGAAACAAAAACAAAAAAATGAAAACACACCATCAATTCTGAAGAAAAAATATCTGAGGTTACCCTATTTATTAAGATGATGTGCTCATGAGGAAAAGGGTTCTGATAGTCAACAGCCTTCTTTTAGTTTAATTACATGAAAATGTAGACGGTTTTCAGGTTTCCCTGAATGTTCTCAGTTCGGGTGGATTTTCCTGCTCAGTACACAGCTGCCTTTACAGGTCGGGCTGGGAAGAGGCAGTAACAGAAGTGCACGCTCAGTATTTTCAAGCACATTTAGAATCTCTCTAGCCGGGGAGATAAGAGCGCCTCCCTCGTGCCAAGCAAATGCCAACAGCCAACAGATCGAGGCCAAATGATAGAAAACACCTCCTCCAGATTTTACTAAACTTTGTCGTTGCGCTTGCGCCCTCATGATCAGCGGCCCTTCACAACTGCCCGTCTGTTCCATTAAATTCCCCATCAACCCCACGTCAGCAGGGTGACAGTGCAATGGTCTCCCCGCTCCTAGATTTGGGAGATGGATGAGGGGGTGCTAATGGGGGCTCTGCCTGCACGACGTATTTTTCATATTTGACTCCCTGACCTTAATTTTACGGCATGCGAAAATCTGGAACGAATGCTCACGTTGGGTACAGGAATGAATGACGCTTTTTCAGCCAGAACCAGGCCTGGCTGACAGACTGTTTCTTGAACTGCCTTTCAGCAAAATGGCCACCTCAAGGATTAGGCTCTGAAATGGCTGAGAGCAGGGATTTGTAAGACAAAGAATGACACGTATTTCTGACAGCTGTGAATATATACATAGGCTAGAAGTATCTTCTTTAAAGCCAGTGTGGTACATTTAAATGGAATAATGTAATTGAACATAGATTTTTTTAAAAAAAGAATGAACTTAATGCTACCACACTTTCAAGGCTGTTTTTTTTTTTTTTTTTTTAAATTGATTTGAAAGGGCTTTGTAGTAAGATAGTAAGCCCTGTATTGCAGGACCAAAAGCTGTTTGACCGGACAGAAATGAACATCGTCTGTTCAACTTTCCACACAGGATTCTCTTACTCAGACTCCATCAACACTGTATTTTTTAAAAAGCATCTCCTTTGAATTTTGAGTTGTGCTTTGAAATTTACAACTAATAATGCCTTAGCCTAAATGTATATGCACGCACAAAAATTATTCATTTCCCTCAATAAGCCTCTGCTAATATCCGTCATCCCCATTAAAGTACATAGATATAATATGCTCCTAATAAAAGGAATACACCTTGATGCACATTGTACCACAGAACAGGAGTCCCTGAGGTTACTTCAACCTTAATAGTACCATGAAGTAGTTTTTGGATAACAATTTTTTTTTTTTTAAATCCCACAGGTTATGTTTTAGCTCCAGCTTTAAAACTGGGCAAATGGAAGAAAAACTATCTTAGTGAACATACACCTATCATCAGAAAGAGAATTTTATTTCTATACTTTGAAACGTTCCTTAAACAACATCATATAAACCGCAGATGCTGATGCCTGTTAGATATGAAGTGTCAAAGATTAACCCACAGTGACCTATCTCTGCAATATACTCCGGGGCCACGTAAATATGAATACAGGATGAAGCCACTTAGCTACAAATGAAGACGTCACACAGATGCATGTCAGACTTTTAAAATGATCTTTGGGAAATCTCAAAGGCTTATGCTATCCTAAAACAGCAAATACTGACATCCACATTGTGTATTTTTTTTTTTTTTTTTAAGTGTAATACCAGTAAACCACATTCAAGGTCAAAAAAGGCCTACTTGGCCACCTGAATAACTCTGCCGTATTTGGTATTCAAAATTAAAAAGAGGAGAGTTAAAAGTGGTAGTTACATGCTGGATTTCCTTGTAAACTTAAAATTGGGGCAGTAGAAGAAACAAAATAAGGACAACTCATTTAATGGCATTTGGTCGGCTCACTTGTGAAATAGACACTGATTTATAAACACGGTCAAAGAAGAGCACTTAACAGAATGACTAATGTCATAATCAGTCAGACACCTTTATTGAGTCATCATGCATACAAGAAACCGTCCCAAAACCGTAAGGCCTGCCTCAAGTAGGCTAAGAGGTAACTGAATATTGTAAAATAGTGACATATACGAAGAGACGTGCAGATAGCGAGAAATGCAGTCAGCAAAACGTCACTAAATTATACCCTTCAATCTGTCCTGCCTTTCAAATGCATCCCCATCAGACAGGCATTCACCCACTCCACAGAACACAACCAGAAGGGAGCTGCAAGTCTGCCACCCAAATGACAGCCCAGGAGTTTGTGGGTTTTCTAAATGGTGGTTTGAGATTTAGGTTTTCTTTCTTCGTCTAAGTAAAAGACCCATCGAAATGTTCTCCTGACACTACAGAATCATAGAAGAAAAGGTTTATAGATTGGTTTATCCATTTCTTTTGATCAAAGCAGGTAGAGGAGCAACTAGGTCAGACATCCCTTCTACCTGCCACTTGACTATTTGTAGGGAGACGCAAAGCTGGTTTTACGGATGTGTCAGGAACTGTTTCTCATATCGAGCTCAGCACTGAAGAGTGAACCACAGATACTTAATTTCAATTAGAAAGTAACAGTCCCCCAAAACTTAAACCATTATTTCCAATGCCATAATTTTAAGGGGGAAATTTGGGGGAGAGTTCGAAAAAATCCTACAGCTACAGAAAGGATTGATGTTATTAGGGAGCACGGGAGGAACTGATTTTTATTACTCAAAGGGTAGTGCTTATTAAGCTCAGATTAAAAGGCAAGTACAGCTTTAGTTTTGTATTCCAGGTACCAATATGAGTCACCAGTCCAAGGGAGCCTCTTCAGAAAAGTATCATGATTTACTGATGAGTATGTGTAGTAATGTCTTCGGTAGATACAGAGACAGGTGTGTGGGGTGGGTGGGTTTGTGTGTGTGTGTAATTTATATGCTATAATGTGTGTGTGTGTGTGTATATATATATATATATATATATATATATCTATCTATCTTTTTTTTTTTTTTTTATAAGCCCACCACGGATGTTGTAAATGATTCAAGAATTATAGAGGGAAAACATAAATATGTTTTATATCTCTGTCTAGCTGGCTAACAAGAAGCTCTTAGAGCTGAAAAGTTCTAAGAGGCAACTTGTTATCACAGAGCCTTAAATCTATAAATCTTAAGAGCTGACATTTCCCAACGTGGGGCAACAACAAACCAGAGAATGAGGAGGGGCACTTCTATTCTTAAGGGCACGAATGGCAGCTGCTGGGCTCATTTGGAATCCTTGGCTCATGCAAACTTGTTTATGCATTTGGTGTATTCACTTAGTTTGCCTATTTGCCAGGCTTAACACCAGTAAGATGGCTGAACATTTGCTCTTGTCCATTTGTTGACTCACAACAACTCAAGGATTAAATGCCACATAAAAAGAACCCGAGCAGCTAGGAGGCGGCGTCAAGGACTTGATGAAATAGCACAAAGTCTTGTCTTCTTTTTTCTCCAGAAAAAGCCAAAAAGAAATATTGTTTTCTAAGAATTCTAATAGCCCTTTTATTTATCCTCTCATTATAAAATCTAGAACATATTCCTAGCATGTGTCAATGGATGGTCACAACTGGTACTCAAAAATCAGGTGCTTTAGGTGAACGGGCCGATACAGAATCTCAAGTTCAATTAAAGCTGTTGTTTTGTACACACTTTTGTGATGAGCTCGATATGCTTCTAGGTGGTAAATACGATCTCTGAAGAAAAAAAATCATCAAAATGAAAACCTTCAGTTCCTGAAGGTCAGAGACACCATGAGAAGCAGTGTCAGCACTGTCTTCAAGCATAATCATTAATTAAATAAGACTTCATGTATTTACTAGGAAAATGGGTCAACTTGGTACTCTTCATACAGGGACAAAATGGTCTGATTCTAATAAAAACGTTCTCAAATCTCTCGTATGTTACGACCAATTGGAAAATAACAATCACATATCTTCCATAGTTGTCATACCAATATTAAATGTCTTCTCTACCTCTTTAATTCATTTATATTCTCAGAGATATAAAAGTATTTGGCCAAAACAGAATACACTTTAAAAATTAATCACTTAACTTAAAATTTTCCTTCTAAAAGACATTCTGCCTTATCTTGCCATACAAAAGACTATCATTTCTTAAACCACTGCTTTACACCTACTCAATTCCTACTCATGCAGTTACTTGGGAAGCTGGATTTCTCCAAATATATTTGTTTTTATTAAACAAATGTCCAACAACTTTTGGAATTAACAAATGGAC